TATTCGAGCTTTCGGACATCCCATTCTATTCATTTTACTTGAGCCATACATTGACCTTGTTATTTAATCGCTTATCAATCTAGACTGTTTTTATATGAGCGTATATGTGTGTACACTTCATGTCCCATGATTCATCACATGTCTGTAGTTTATTTTGTCTGCCTATAAATACTGAGTAACGCTTAATTAAAATGGAGTTGGCTTCCCAGCCATCCTCCCCGCGCGTCATTTCGCTTTGTTCTATCGCATTCACTTTACATACAAAATATATGTATTCAATGGCCATTCTCGTTAATTGACTTATTTAATTCGGTTATTGGCTAACGCGATTTAAGTCGACGATGATAAACGAGAAAAGGTGATAACGATCATTCACACGATCTAAATAGGAGTCAGATCCACGGGCCACCTCATAGAACTACGAAAGCCATCATCCAGAAGATTCAAGTGTTGATTAACAGTTGTCTAAGCATAATACATCGGGTCCGTTGGCCAGACACTATCAGCAACAACCTAATGTGGAAGAGGACAAACAATATCTCAGAGGAGGAAGAAATCAGGAAGAAGTACTGGAAGTGGATAAGACTCACATTGAGGAAAGCACCCAATGGCGTCACAAGGCAAGCATTCATCAATTGGAATCCTCAATGCCAAAGAAGGAGAGGAAGACCAAAGAACACATTATTCTGAGCAATGAAGACAGACATGAGGAGAATGAGCAAAAATTGTATAGAACTAGGACAGAGTGGGTTGGAAAATGCTGGTCAGTGACTATGCTCCTCTATTGGGAGTAACAGGCGTAAGTAAATAAATAAGTAGATGATTCACATTATAATTTATAAATTACCGACTATATATTAACCATACAACTTCTGTTTAAAACAAACTATAGAATGCTCTTTATTTATTGTTACTATATTGAATATCGACTGATTGACACTACAGTTTATATTACTGAAGAAAGGTAGGCACTTAGCAACAATAACTTACTTTAAACCTAGAAATAAGTATCATATATTGAATTTAGAATAAATCAACTTATTGAAACATGATACAAGTCACCAACAATAAACACATATGCTCAGTTACCACTTATAGGAAAAAAATACCCAAATTGATCATTCTCTCTAGGTGTGGTTTATGCTACTTATGTTGACAGATATAAGTAGTATGTAGAATCAGTCGGAAATGAAATACCTGTGAGTAGAAGATTAAGATTGAAATGAAGAGAAGATAAAAGAGAATATAATCAAAATAACAATAGGGATGAAGGATAGATAAGTTTTGTAAGAGACAACTCAAAGAAGATGTGTAAATGATTAATTTAGTGTATGGTTTTCATATTTTGGATGTATTATCCATGAACAAGGAGGATCAGATGCAGACATAAAGGTGAAGATTGGCAAAAAGGGTCACATCCCTACAATTGAAGAACATATGGAACTCAAAACAAATGTCTGTCAACCAATATCAAAGTGAGAATCTTCAATACCAACGTCAAGACAGTTCTACTGTACGGAGCGGAAACTTGGAGAACTACAACAACCACCATCAAGAAGCTACAAGTATTTATAAATAGCTGTCTTCGCAAGATACTCAACATCCATTGACCGGATATCATCAGCAACAGTCATCTGTGAGAGAAAGCAAACCAGGTTCCAGCTGAAGAGGAAACTAGGAAAAGACGATGGAAATGGATAGGACATACATTACGCAAATCGTCAAACTGCATCACACGGCAAGCCCTAACATGGAATCCTAAATGAAGGCGGAAAAGAGGAAAGCCGAGGAACACATTATGTGGGGAAATAGAAGCAGATATGAAAAAGATGAATAACAACTAGAAAGAGCTGGAAAGTATTGCCCAGGACAGTGTTGGATGGAGTGTGCTAGTGGGCGGTCTATGCTCCTCCACGTGGAGTAATTGGCATAAGTAAGTAAGTTTCATATTTCGCCTTAGCACTATGTTATTCCGAACTGGACAATAAGTTGTTTATCTCTATTACATTGTCGTTCACTTTATGAGCAGACGGGATCATAGAATGTACACTTCCCTCTTGCGTTAAATGTCACCAACGGGAAAATGTAAACCCGTATGAATGAATCCATATATTGTAAATTGTATACGTTGCAGATCGATTTTTTAGAGTACGAGTGAAAACTTGAAGGAACTGGATAGATTTCTCACCCTATTATAGGATTCATTAACAGTGACCACACCCACATAGTGATTAACCTCTATGCTAGTTCCCAACTTCATCACGTATCTACATCATCAGTTAACAACAGTTTCTACACTACTTATTATCAATCAGTAGCTTGACCAATAAAATTACAAATGTAATTAGTCTGACTGCTACGTTCAGTAAATGTTCGATCATCGTAATCAATCATAATGAACTACTCTTAGTCAAACAAGCATTATAACCTAAGGATCGCTAGATAGCTATTTTGCCTTATTGCAGAATTCTCAGTAGTATAAGTATACAACCCCACCACGAGTTGAACCCAAGATCTTCAGCCTAGTATACAAACGTTTTATCACTTCTAAACTGTCTACAGTTACTAATCACATGCTCACTAATCATTACGTTCTGATGAGGAGCCATGAGCAGTGAATTTTAACTATGTTTACTTTGGTTCAGTTACCTATTAAGTACATTGGAAGGTAGCTGAGTGGCATTACAGATTGATGAAAGTTAAATATGTAAACCAGTCGATGAATTTACTTTCTGCTTTTTAGTTTTATTTAAAGTGGGCTGTTTGGTTAGAATTTACGTAAAAACTTAGGGTGCTGTCATCACTGACCAGATAGTAACTCTCCATATTCTTTATCTGGGTATCATTAATCCTGTACAACTTACAACAGTCATTTAAAATACAATCAAGTAATATCTTATCCTATCTATCCATTACCACTTAACATATGTATCTCCCGCTTTGGCCTTTTTATCGTCATTGGTAACTTCAAAACTGTAAATGAATTGATCTTCAGATGCAATCACACAGATTGAAAGATGTATTTTTGGTTTACATCAAGAACTGACTGATCTTAGCTAGACTATCATTTAAACTTTGGAAATTCTACCATCTTCACAAATCTCCATATCATAGCAATAATCATATGTTCACTAATAACTAACTTGGAAATACAACTCTTGAAATACTAATGAGAATCTATGACCAGTGCGGTTCAACCATGTCTGATGTGATAATTTTATGCAATGAATGAGAGATGTGCACAATCTCGAATCGTTTAGAGATCGATACATATAGTAAATATATAGTCTATATAGTCTAAAAGTTAAGCGTCCACGTTCGATACAAGAAGTCCTGACTTCAATTAATCCTCGATCCTGATGTTTTATGTGTACAATTCTAATGAGTCCAAACCAAGGGTAAAATAACTATCTAATGCTTTTGTGGTGTGCGCTACTTATATACACATAAGTAGTATATTATGATAGTCAGGAATAAAAGATCGAGCAGGAAAGAATGGGAAACGAAAGCAATCGGTATGAAAATGCACGAGCACTGAAATCTAAGACGATGGTCTGATATTTGCAAAAGGAACAGTCAAGTTTTAGATAATTGATAGATATTTTGGCAAATGAAGTATTTACTGTATAATTTTCACATTTTAGTGAGATGTTTTGTAATTTTGTGTTCAAATACATTCAATTGTCCCCACTTGCGTTCATTGTTTAGTATAGTTTCAGGATTTCTATAGTTATCTATATTTGACAGAATATGTACGAATGTTTACGAAATGTTTTGATGAAGATCATAAACCGATTGATGTTAAATGACCATTGAAAATCCGGAAGCACTGGACCGTCATTTCATCCTATTGTAGGACTCCTCAGCAGTGCGCATCTATGACCCCTCCTCGCGGACTTCGAACCAGGAACCTATTGGCCTCGCGAGCGAACACTCAACCTCTAAACCATCGAGTCTACCGGAATCCAACGGTGTTAATTTCTAACTTCAACCAATCCACGAAATTGAGCGACAGATCTACCATTGTCATCAATGAGTTACCATCTCACGATAGACCCGGTTGAACTCCACTGGTCACTGCTTTTCACTGGAACTCCAGGATATCTCTCTTGAAGCCAGTCACTAGTGAGCATATGTTGATTAATATCAGAAGGGGTTTTGTGGAGATTGTAGTAATGTCAACAGTTGAGATCATGAATCGTTTAAAGCTAGATCATCATGGAAAACCTGGAAGCACTCAACAGCCGTTCTGTCCTATTGTGAAATTCCTCAATACTGCATACTCAAGATCCCGACTCGAAAGATTCGAACCTAGGACCTATTGCTCTCACATGAAACCGGTTAACGTCTAGACCACTGAGCCGACATCCAACGATATGAATGTCTAACCTCAACTGATCTATGAAAATACGCAATCATTTTTCATTGTACTGAAGTAGATAACTATCTCTATCTGACACGGATTAACTTCACTGGTCACAACTTCTCCATAGAACTCATTTTAGTTTATTTTACAGATTTTGAAAAACGGAAATAAAAATCATTTTTATTTTTATCAATATTTATTCATTAAAATCATTAAAAAATTTTTATTATTTCACCTTAAATCAATAAAAGAAATTAATTCAATTCTATTCACGCCTATATTTAAATTCGCATTCTGATTGGTTAGATTTATCAAGGTTATAACAATTAGAATTTTATTATTGGTTAATTAAGAATAGACTCATAATACGCCTCTGATTTATGATTGGTCAATTTGTAAAATGTGGCTCAAATTTTAAAAATATAAACATATATATATATAAATAAATAAATAAAATTGTAAATGTTATAATCGTTTTTAATGTTTATCCCTTAATTAGATAAACAATAAACAAACAAACGAACAAAATATGCTTAACAACTAATACAATTATGATGATTATTTGAAAGGTTTCTTTGTGCAATTACGTATCTATCTATCTATCTATCAATCTATCAATCTATTTATCTATGTCATGTTAGATGATTTTACCATTAATCAAAATCAAATTGAATTGAATACAGTCGATTTAAATATTGACAATGTTATTCATTCATCATCATCATCATCACCGTCATCGTCATCATCAACGTTGTCATCATCTTATGCAATATCATCTGTAGAGATATGGGCACTTATATTAACATTTTTATATTATGCAATAATGATTTGTTTAGGTATATTTTGTTGGTTAAATGCTAAACGTAAATATAAAAATCGTCAAAAATCAATAGATATTTCAACATGGTCACGTTTTCATATTGGTCCTAATCAATTACATATTAAATATACAGATGATGATGGTGATTCTATGACTAATTAATTAATTAATGATAATAAACATAATGTCGTTCAGAAGAACGATGAAAACTCCATAACCAAACCATCCAGCTCAAAGAACAAAACTTCATCATAATCATCCATCTGAGCTACAAATCTTCACCACCATCACGTAACTGGAGCGCATATATCATTTTGTACAGATTATTATCATAGAAAAACAAACCTTCCACTTTATATGTTTCTGTATAAGTTTACTGAAATTCATCAGGATTTCTTATTCAATACCAACTTGTATATTATATATATGTGTATGTGATTAGTTCCTGTGTATAAACATGGATATATGTATGTAAATTGAATGATGTAATTGTAGGTTATTTATTATTCAATACTTAAAAAAGAATGTAGTTGATAAATAATGAAATATATTTATATACTACTGAAATCATAATGGTCATTTTATACTTTATAGTAATTTCAATAATTGAGATCATGAATCCATTGAAACTAGATCACTATGGAAAACCTCGAAGCACTAGATGATCGTTTCGTCTTATTGTGAGAATCCTTAGCAGTGCGCATCCATGATCCCGTACCGCGAGATTTGAACACAGGATTTATCAGTCTTGCGCGAGAACATTTAACCACTAGACCATTGAGATGATATCCAACAATGTTAATGTCTAACTTCAACTAATCTACGAAATTGAGTCATCGACCACCATTGTCATCAGTGAGTTACTATCTGTTGGTTTTCAATGGTGGTCTAGCTTCAATTGACTCATGATCTCAACTATTGAAATTATTATAATATTCACAAAACCCCGTCGTCCATAAATTATAGTCTCACCATAAGATTATTTGGGGATATAATCTGTCAATCACTAGGATCATTTATCACTTACTAAGTAGTAATCAATATTATATTGTATTAAGATTAGTTAAATGAGATAGAATAGTTTATTTCACTTGATAAGGTATCTATGATGAGCAAATTGAACTAGTCACATATGACAATTGATGTTATCCCATTGTTAATGTAAAGGACCTAAATTGACCGGTCTGTATTAGTATATTCACATCCTGAGTGCATTTCCTTGAAGAAGTCTTGGAGTTAGGAGTTCTCATTATGTAGAAATTGAAGCTAGAAAAGACGACTTTATTAGGACTCGTTGATTGAATACGTCTGTATCTGAGTATTAATGTTCACCTTGAGAATCAAACCTGTTGTTCGTCACTCCAGGTGCAGTCATAGATATCTAACATGTTGAATATTTTAGTAGCTATCTAAATTCAGTAACTCAATGGATAATGCGTTAATGCTTGATACAATTCTAACTTGTTTTGAGTCATATTGTACATATCAATTCTGGGTTTCAGATAAAAACTGGACGAAACTTACATTTTGGATACCATTGAATGCTACGTTCTAAATATAATGAGGATCAAAATAATGATCCATGCAAATAAATATTAATATCAGTTGTTTTGTGGAAATCGTAGTAATTTCAATAGTTGAGATCATGAATCAGTTGAATCTAGACCACCGTGGAAAACCTAGAAACACTAGCTGGCTGTTTCGTCTGATTGTTGGACTCCTCAGCAGTGCGCTTCCACGACCCCGCCTTGTAAGATTCGAATCCAGGGCATATTGGTCTCGCGCGCAAGTGTTTAACCACTAGACCACTGAGCCGGCATCTAACGGTGTTAATGTCTAATTTTAACCAATCCACGAAATCACACCACCGTCCATCATTGTCGTTAGTGCGTTACTGCCTCACAACAGACCTGGTTGAACTCCACCTGTCACTGCTTCTCACTAGAGCTCCAGGATATCTCTCTTGAAGCCAGTCACTAGTGAGCATATGTTGATTAATGTCAGAAGGGATTTTCTGGAGGTTGTATCAATTTCAATAGTTGAGATCATGAGTTAATTGAAGCTAAACCACCATGGAAAACCTGGAAGCACAATGAGTTTTATACAAAGCCATCATCCATCTCCCTTTAACAAACATGTGATTTGGTGATAACATCAAGAAGTTACTCATAGAATACACATATGTCAATAAGTGACTGATCGATTTCAATCCTAAACATCAATGGTAAGATTCAAACAACCAATACAAATGAATGATATGTCTTCTCAAATGACTCTATAGAATATCAACATTTAGTCAGTATATTAACTCATTAGTTGTTCAGTGTTTACTTAAGAGAAACATCTATAAAATGACTTTCAATATGGATTAATTTGAGCTAGTCATAGATTGATCACCAAGTAGCATTGAACAAATGCTTTGTTGTATTATAGGACATTTTAAAAATCCAGACCTTCAAATCTAATAATGATAACGTTACCCTCAGATGATTTTGTTGACATTCATCTGATGAATCCCATGAAGGACAAAACACGCAACTTGTAGAAGATCTTTATAGATGCGTAAGTGATGTAAAGTCCGTTTACACCTTGTTAAATTATTTTATTTTCTTCTTCTTCTTCATAAAATATCCATTTATAAAAGTTGTTTCGTGATTAACTAAAAATTAACTAGAAATTCAATGCGGTTGTTTTAATCTCATCCTTATACTATACTTTCAAGGAAGAATATGTTTCAGGCGTAAAGAGTAACAGATAAACTATGAATATAAATCGAACATATCAGAGCAATAGTACCAGACTACTTAATTCCTGATTTTCACCCAGGCGGCCTAGGTTCGACTCCCGGCGCGGGGAAGTTTTCTGCCCCCAAATGCTCTAATTCGGCCAAGAGTGGGGAGAGTCCGCTTTCCCTCTCTCGAACTGCATGGGAAGTCCTACTCACAACTTTCTCGAGGCATTAGTGTCGCTTACAAAATTAAGAGAACGAAAAGTGATTATCCGACTCCTGAACCAGTTTATCGGGTACTAAGGGTCCATTTAGGGGAGTTGGAAAACCTTTATTCCAAACCAATGGTGCACATGAGCTCCGGTATGCTGAAGGAACGAATGGCGTATGAACAAATTATTGGCCACCGGCTACCATGGGACTGTATCTCTTGACGGCTCTGGGTGTAGCATCAGGGCAGTATCACAACCCACACACAAATCAAGTGGCTTTTGTGGCGCATATGCATTCGGTGCCCCTTTGTACCAATATTTATGTGTTGAAAACATCAAATAAAATAAGTATGAATCCTTTTATCTATGTAAAATAGATCGTCGGTAACTATCTAAATTCATATAGAGGAAACATAGAGATATAGAAAAAACATATGTAACAAGGCACATACTCAAATAGGTTATATTATAAGTCATTATACACTAATGAATACAATATGTATTAGAGAATTACAATGGCAAATAAATGGAAGTTTACAAAATAATCAATAAGATTAAAATGATCTTTTATCACAGTGGCGTCGATGTACGCCCTTTCTGTCTTCCCTTAAACTATGAGATTAAAATCGCTTTATATCTTTCGTTTTGTCACCTAATTCTTTCTTTCTGTATTATATCCTTATATTTAATCTTTGTTTTATATATTACTAACATTAGCCTCCAAACACCCTGGTACGGCCAAGAATGAGGAGAGTCTGCTGTTCCTCTCAAAATGCTCTCACATGGCTATGTGCATACAACCACTACCACGGAAGTCCTACTCACTGCCTTCTGAGGTGTTGTTTACAAAATTGAGAGAACGAAAAGTGAATATCCGACTGTTTAACCAGGTTGGTGGACACGGAGAGTCCATTTAGGAAAGTTGGAAAAACTTCATTCCAAACCAATGGTGCACATGGACTCCAGGATCCTGATGGAACAAATGGCGTATGAACCACTTGTTGATCATCGGCTACCATGGGATTGCATCTCCTAACGTTTTTCCACTACCTTTCGGATTGGACCATTAGGTCAAAGGCTCCGAATGTGGCCCCCAAAAGAAAACCATCTACTTCAGTTTGGGCACCCTGACAATACTCCAACCCTCACATAAATCAAAGGATTTCTATGGTGCATATCTATTTGGTGCCTTCTTGTACCAATGTTTATGTATTTAAATAAAATAAGCCATTGAAGTAACTACTTCTATGAATTTGATGTTCATCTTGTTGTTGTACTAATAAGGTATGACAACTTAAAGCAATATATATACATATATAGTTCTATATTGTTACTGACTGACCGATTTTACACCATTCTGTTAGGGATGCAGAGGAATATACCAATAATTATCATGTTAAGTCCAGTGGTGTCCTTGGACTTCAAATGGACATTTCCTATTGGTCGATATTTGTTCACTTGTTAAATATTGTACAAAATGTTGTTTTCTATTTTATGATACGATGTGGTATGTTTGATTGGTATATAAACAGAGGATGTTTGAAATATAATGATTCATAACTCAGAGGCTGTGACTTACGTTCTGAACTCAACTGGCTGGGCTAGACAGGGAAACGGGATCAATCGAGACTCTAGGTCATCCTTACGTGTTTTCCGTGTCATTGTAATCGATCGATATAAACGCTGCTCCATCTAACCTGCAAACCACCCGTTACAACACATTCAATCAAATCAATGAATCACTTGAAACATTTCAATATTTCTATCATATATTATAAATGACCAAAATAACTTCATAGTAACTATATTAATATCAATTATTGATATAACCTCACACAAACTATTGAATACATTTAAGATTAGAGATAAGCTTCATTGAATTCTAATAACTACCATAGAAACTTAGGTCAAAATAATAATTTCCTGTTGATTTATTTTTAATCAATCAATAACAATTTTCATTAAAATTTTATTTTAATTAACTATTTTTTTCTTTTCTTTTATTTTAATTAGTTGTTATGAGATATTACATTAACAACAACAACAACAACAAACAAACAAAAAAGAAAAAAAAAGGAAAAAATGTAAAAAAAAACACAGAAAAAATCAATTAATTTAACGTCCACCTTCCCTCCTTCTCCTCCTCCTCCTCCCCTTCCCTATTTAATTCATTATTCCCATAATGAGGTCAATTTTATTATACTACTTATATATGTTTTATT